GAACCAGCCACCTTTTGGTGTACAAGATGATGTTCCAACCAACTGAGCCACTTGGCCAGGGCTCCGTTAACATTTAGAATATCATCATCAACACTGACTGTGGAGACTTCACTTTGTCATTATGAATGTGCAGACTTCTAATGTCAGAAATTCCCACATTCATTTCCCTACATGGGATTCCTGGCCTGAGTGCATTTGAGTATTCTAATTGCCCATTGAGGGTTTTCACTTGGGTGACTCCATAGGTGTCTTAAATTCAAAATTCAAAGTCTCCTCTTCAAACTTTCTTTTTTCTCCTGTAGCCCATGCCCCTAATGCTAACAAAAGGCACAAACATCCACCCAGTGCCCTGGTTCAGACTGAAATCCTTCTCTCAGGGACCCCACAGGTCCTCTGACTTTCTGCTATGCATCTCAGCTTTCCCTTCAGCATCTGTTCCACACTTTCTCCCGAGTGATAAATCTAAAAGCACCAATCTAGTCACATTATTCCCTATTTTAAAGTTGGAGATCCTTCCAGGCCAAGATCCTATACATGATCTTTCAGGCCTGACCGTAAGCAATGCCATGAGGGAAATTGATATCATAGGGGAAACTGCCCTTCCCACAGTTGACACACTGGGACTCTCTGGATGGAATTGCAGGCTAGAGCTTAGATACAAGTGCCAGCATTTGGAGGCCTCCTTACTAGGACCTCATCTGGGCACTTTTCTCCACCCTGACTCAGCAGCTTTCCACTGCCCCTCTCCCTTCCCTTCTGCCTCAGCCTCCCATCCATGAAGAGGCCAGAGCCTTTTGTTCAGGGCTCCCTGCAGTGAGCAGACTCTCTCCATGTGTGCTGCATGTCAATGCCCCTCCCACGCCTGCTGTCTCCCTGACAGCAGATGTCTATTTGGCTGAGTATATCTAGTGATTGGCACATTAAAGGCTCTTGAAAAATATTGACTTAGTAAACCATTTGTTTGCACAGTGTAATCATTGAAGAGACCCATACACGTGGCTAATCTGCTTGTATATATCTAGACCATGGCAATATTAGAGTCAACTTTCTCAATGCATGCAGAGACTGAGTTGCTGCACCTGACTGAGAAACTAGATGGCTTAGATGTCTTGGGAGTATCTTGATGTTATTACCTTTTCAGCTCTGAAATATTTGGGCATGATAGAATTTGAATATGGACCAGATATTACCACTTACTGATACTTGTTCAAAAAATTTTTTGTTGTTGTTAATACTACCCTGAGGATATTTTAAATTGATTTTTTAGAGAGAGTAGAAGGGAAAGGGAAAGACAGAGAAACATTGATGTGAGAGAAACACATCAATTGATTACCTCTCGTATACTCCACACCAGGGCAGGCAACCAAGATATGTGCCCTTGACCAGAATTGAATTCAGGGCCCTTCAGTCAGTAGGCCATTCTCGATCCACTGAGCTATTCCAGCCAGGCTTGTTTAAAATTTTTAATAAAAATATAGGAACAGCCTAATGCCACAATATTTAAAAGTCTACAGTGTTTTCAAAACAGTATAATAAAAATTATCTATATATTACTCAGTATTAATGGGATAGTGTGAAAAGGGATACTGTTTACAAAGTCAGGAATCAACTAAATGAAAACTAATGTTTATTCTCTGGGTTAATTTCAAAATTATACCATGTAAATGACTAACATTCTCTGTTGGATAGAGTTCAAAATATGCCTAATAATGGATTTCTTCCCAGACTCTTATAAATTTGTTTAAGTGTGAAAAGGCTAAATTTTATTTGGCAAGGATAATAAATGTGCATTTTGCTCTCTTCTAATAAAAGATATCCATTTAGTACTATTAGCAAATTTGTTTTGCAATTAATTTCTAAGTAGATTTTCAAGATTAGATTATGCTTGAAAAGCTTTGCTAATATATGTTGTGAGCTAAAAGTTGGAAATAAAAATAATGAAACCCTTGCTTATAAGGAGTCAAGAGTATATAATGACAAACTGCAAGTCTGTCTAGTTAAAGAATTGGCTTTAACTTTTTTGATCAGCTAATGGAGAAATAATTGCTGTTTGTATCCCATTTACTACTAAGCCAGTAGGAGAGGAACAGATAAATGTTTGCGGAATGGAAAAAAATTGGGATATGCATACACAAGGATTCTTCCAATATTTAACTCCCTGTTTTCATCTCCATTTGTTCAAAAAATATTTTTGATCATGTACTATATGTATTTTGCTAGTAACTGGAAATAACTTAGTAAATTAAAATCAATAAATTATATTCTAGTGGGAAAGATAGATAAAATCAAGTAAGAAGAATGATGAACATCTAATCACCACCTAAGGGAAAGGAACAAGATTTTTAAAAGAATATTAAAAAGGTACCTGAGTTTGTATCAGGGAAGGCTTATCAGAGAAAGTGACACTTGAGCTGGGTTCTGAAAGATAAGTAGGAATTTGTTAAATGAAAAAGGCTGAGGAGCAAAAGGAGAACAAGTATTCCATACAAAGCAACAGTGAAGGACAATTAGTGGATATAAAATTAAGGGTGCCCCGCCAGTAGTTGCTCAGTGGTTAAGGATTGACCCATGAACCAAGAGGTCACCAGTTCAATTCCTGGTCACGGCACATGCCCGGGTTGCAGGCTCTATCCCCAGTAGGGGGCATGCAGAAGGTAAGCCGATCAGTGATTCTCATCATTGATGTTTCCATCTCTCTCCCTTCCTCTCAAAAATCAATAAAAGGTATTTTTGGGGTTTTTTTTTAGCCCTAACTGGTTTGGCTCGGTGGATAGACCATCAGCTTGTGGAAGGAAGGGTCCCAGGTTCCATTCTGGTCAAGGGCATGTACCTTGGTTGTAGGCACATCCCCAGTAGGAGATGTGCAGGAGGCGGCTGACCAATGTTTCTCTCTCATTGATATTTCTGACTCTCTCTCCCTCTCTGAAAAAATCAATAAAAAATAGTTTTTAAAAAGATATGTTTTAAAGAAGATCCTGCATATATTTAGTGAGTGTAGTAATACAGCATCAAAAATATTTATTGAAAATTTTTAATAAAGGAGCCATTCAGCATAGAAAGCAACATCCTGTAGTTCTACTTAGTCAGAATCAGATCTAAATTCTCAGCAGCAAGCAAGAGACTCAGAAAGCGCTGACTTTAATTACAAACTTTATTTGTCAGTACAATTCACAGTTTATACATGGTGCAGTCCACCATATGACCTTTCAGAACAGTTACTGAGGAAATGGGTGTAGCTTTCTTTCTCAAAGAGCCTGACCTTCTAAAATTTGTTAGAATTTAAGTTTATAAAAGTACCTTTAACTGAATATTTACATTTTTTTAGCTTAAATTTAAATTTTGGAAAATAAGCATCTATTAAGATTTTTTTTTAAGATCCTGGGTTTATTATTAAAACTCTAATATGAATGTCAGTTATTTAGATACACTCCCCCCCCACAATAGTAAAAGAAACGTTTTGCAATTATATTTAGGGAAATCATTTTCTTTCTGCATTTTCAAAAATTATATATACAATGTACAGCAGATCTATATAAGTATGAAAATAAAAGAAAGAATAGCAATCTATTGGGTGCCTTTACCGAATTTCTTCTGAATTTTGGAAACATCCAAAAAGTTATAGGCTATGAAATGAAACTAAAAGGGTTACTGGCCTTTTCTATCTAAACCAAAAGCTCTCAAGATTTAAATTGTGCTCTAACAGCCTTTTCTCTAATGTCAGAGATGTACTATGCCTACCGTCTGCGTTTTCCTTGTGCAAAATCACAGCGATCCCAGTCACCACTCTAGAGGCACACCCAGGGGAGGCCAGGCCTGTGCCCTGCCTGCTGCTTCGCCCCCCACCCCCACTCCCTTATCTGGCAAATGTCCCGCACAGAGAGAAATCACATAAGCCTTTCATATACCAGAAAGCAAATCGATGCTGGCAGTATAATGTTAATTAGCAAGTGCTCATAACACATTGTCTTGCTCTCTTCATCAGAATGGTAGTTCACACCAATTGTCTTAAATTGCCTCTGATAATATCCATTTTTAACAGTTTTCTTCTGTCAGATCATATATATATATATATATATATATATATATATATATATATTTTTTTTTTTTTTTCCTTTCTTTCCTTCTTCCACCTTTAAAAATGTAGTTGTTAATAAGTGATAAATTCCTAATACTTCCAGGGAAAAGGAGACTGGGAACAGCCAGTTTCACTGGCCCGGTAACTATTACACTGTGTATGTGTACCACTGGTACCTGAGACAAATAAATACTCAGAGGGGCCGTCTGCACACCTCTTTTGCTGCAGTGCCTTTTACGCTAGGGTTTCTGAGTGTTGCTTCAATATCCATCTAATTTGGCATCTAGTCCTCCTTCGAGGCATCATCACTTCAGTCATTTTACCTGCCGTTTCCAGCAAGGTATGGTATTCAAATGGGTGTCATGGGGTGAGCCTAGGGGTGGGGCGGGGAAGGAAACCCACATATTAACTAGAGAGGTTCTGTTTCTTCATAAGATAAGGCACTGACAGAAAATTTCTTAGGTAAAAGGCTGCATAAGAATTTCTTGCCATTTACAAAAAGAAATGTTGTCATCCATTCGTGGTCCATATCTAGGCTCAGTTAGGTAGACCCTGAAAAGTTAAGGACTGATCCCTCGAAGCTACATGATGACCAGAAACAATTATAATTCATTCTGAAGCCTTATGGCACATTAGGAAAAAAAGGGAGAAAAACAGTCTGGGCACAGAAAGGCATCAGACATTGCTTGTTTTATTCCACTGGTCAAAGAAAATAGACCGTACAAGCATCATCAAAAAAGATAGTGCTGGCTCAGAATTCCAAATTCTCTTGATGGTAGATGACCATGATGGGTATATCTATTTTCCCCCCTTTGGAGTTCATGCACAATTTTTTTTTAAAAAAAAACACGCTACCAGCAACAGTCTTAAAGAGCATATAGAAGTCCTCACCTATGGCTATGCCTAAGGCTCTTCAAAGAGAGGGCTATTTAATATTTTCAATGACAGCAATTTCCTCCCCTGCACAATGTGGCGTCAGTCCATTCAAATAGATACTTTCAGCTTTCAATAGGGGAGGCAAGACATCCCTCTCGGTGGCGAGGTGGTTCACGGACAGGGTCCTTCTGCACGGGGTCAGCTCCTGGTTGTGGTTCCCGGCCAGTTCTGCAGAGAGCTTCCGCTTGATGGAGGTGGCGCGCTGGAACTTGTCGTAGATCTCCACACTCAGCCGCCTCCTGGTTTCCTTGAACTCGGCCGTGACGTTGGCTGTCCACTCAGCAGCATGGGCTCGGAACTCTCCCACCTGGAGCATACAGGCAGAGACAAGACAAAGAGACACCGACAGCGGGGGTAAGCGTTTTGTGAGCTTTATCTTCTGGCCGTTGGATTTGGGAGGAGAGTTGGTTAAACAAAAGACTAGCCTGTTGTAATGCTGGAGGTCTGAGAACGGATGTAATAAGACAAGATGTGCTGACCAAAGTTGCATTTTGTATAGCTATGGCTCTAAAAAGCAATCTACTAATATGAATATAAACTCTTTCAATCAAATTATATTAGTGGTACAAAATGTGCATGAATCCGTGACAAAAGCAATCTCTAACCTTTTAAAACTTTGGGAGTTTTGTTATTTTTAATCTGTAATTTCAAGAAGCGTTGGGATGTAGAATAGGCAGTAGAAGCTGCAGGGCAGAATAAAAGCCTGGAGTGTGGACCCAGGCGACATGACTGATACTTTCAGAGCACCAGAGCTGTTTACTCGGGATACAAACGCAGGTTTGAGTGGCCAGAAGTGGCGTGTGCAAAAACTCCTGTCCACCTCATACTGCTCATCTATGGCATGTCTGTTTCCTAAAGCAGTAAAGTATCTTGTTTTTGCCTTCAGGGGAAGCAAATGAGACTTGGCAAGTCCATTCTGAGGGCCATTTTAGAGGAAGGGCAAGGCCAGGGAACCGTTCCGGGAATGCTTGTGGAGTTGGTGAGGGAGCTCAGCCTGTCTGAGCTCTAGTTTGCTCAGCTGGAGAGCAGGCATGGCCAAGTGCACACCTCCCAGGATGCCACCCCCTGTAAGAGCCTGTGGAGCCATCACGGTGCACTTCTCTCTTAAGGGGTAAAGAAAAAATATTGCCCTGTCGGTGGGTGTGGCTAGTTGGTTGGTGTATATTCCTGTGCACCAAAAGGTAGCAGGTTGGATTCCCTGTCAGGGCACATATCTAGGTTGTGGGTTTAATCCCCAGATGGGAGGCAACTGATGGATGTTTCTCTCACATTTCTTCAGTAAAATATATTCTAAGGTGAGGATAAAAAAAAAATTGCCAAGTCCTAAGCTTGTGTACAATGTTTAACTCTATAGAACTGTCTGCACTCTTGTGACTTAAAAAGGACAATGCCCTGGAAAATTTTATAGTCCTTTTCTTTAAAAAAAAAATATGTATTCTATTGGTTTTTTACAGAGATGAAGGGAGAGAGAGTTAGAAACATCAACCAGCTGCCTCCTGCACACCCCCTACTGGGGATGTGCCCGCAACCAAGGTACATGTCCTTGACCAGAATCAAACCTGGGACCTTTTAGTCCACAGGATGACACTCTTATCCACTGAGCCAAACTGATTTCAGCTATAATCCTTTTCTTAACTATCTAGACTAACTTCTGCAATAACCCCCTATTGTGGAGTCACTCCCCCATTCCCTCTGTTGCTGGCATTTTTGCTTTCAGCTTAGAAAATGAGTTCTGTGGGGTTCCCTAAGTGACATGGGCTCTTCTTTACCTGGTGAGCATATAACTATAGCTCTGTTTTCTTTGTATTTTAACCTGATTTTTTTTTTTAAACAGAGAGGGATAGAGAGTTAGAAACATCGATGAGAAACACCAATCAGCTGCATACTGGGGATGTGCCCACAACCAAGATACATGCCCTTGACGGGAATAGAACCTGGGACCCTTCAGTCCGCAGACCAATGTTCTATCCACTAAGCCAGACCAGTTGGGGCCCTCTGATAATTTTTAACTTTGGTCAAACTGCTGGTTTCTGCTGTGGTTTAATGTTAGTGTCTGCTCCGGATGGGAGGGTGGAGCCCTCCTGAATGGGATGAGTGTCCTTATAAATGAGGCTCCAGAGAGCTCCCTAGCTCCTTCCACCTGGTGAGGACACAGGGAGAAGGTCCTGGCTATTACCTGGATCATGCTGGTGCTCTGCTCCTGGACTTCCAGCCTCCAGAACTCTAAGAAATCAATGTTTGCTGTTTATAAGCTTCCCAGTCTGTGGTATTTTGCCATAACAGCCTGGTCAAACTAAGCTGGTTTCTAAATATTTATTTATGCTGAAGATTGGAATTATAAGAAGGGATTATCCATGTGCCCTGGCCAGAATGGTTCAGTTGGTTGGGTGTCATTCTGGGCACCAACAGGTTGTAGGTTCAATTCCCAGTCAGGGGGACATGAAGGGGCCCCTGATCCATGTTTTGCTCTCACATGAAAGTATTTTTCTTTTATATATTTTATTGATTTTTTTTTTTTTTTTTTTTTTTACAGAGAGGGAAGGAGAAGAACAGAGAGCTAGAAACATCGACCAACTGCCTCCTGCACACCCCCTATTGGGGATATGCCCATAACTAAGGTACATGCCCTTGACCAGAATTGAACCTGGGACCTTTCAGTCCACAGGCTGACACTCTATCCATTGAGTCAAACCAATTTCAGCAATAAAAGTATTTTTAAAGAGGGGATATCCAGGAACATATTTCAACATGATGTGTACATAAAAATGAAATGGAAATTGTTCAAATATCCTTAGAAGCTGGCACATAGCAGATCAGTTCTTCCTCTTCCATCCATAATCACATATACACGTTTTTATTTTATTTTCTACTTGTATTCTATTAACAAGAAATAATTGCTTGTTGTCTGCATCTGGTTCTGAAAAATGAGAACTTTATGGCACACTTAATTGGCAAGATGAAGGGAGCCTGCAGAGAAAGAGGTGTTAAATTTATAGCAATTTAGCCTGAAGATTCTCACCGCTCCTGTAAGGGCCCTGTCCCAGTATACTTTGGCATAGCAGAGATTATTGAATGTTTCTTCCTACTTTTCAGGACTCTGGTTAGAAAAGCATAGGCAGTATCAATTAGTATTAAGAAACACTGTTAGAAACTGGTTTGGCTCAGTGGATAGAGCATTGGCCTGTGGACTGAAAGGTCCCAAGTTCGATTCGGTCAAGGGCATGTACCTTGGTTGCAGGCACATCCCCAGTAGGGGTGTGCAGGAGGCAGCTGGTTGATGTTTCTAACTCTTTTCTTGTTTACCTTGCTGTCTGCTTAGATTATAAGTTTGAGTCCGTGCAAAGGGGTGTCTGGTACTGAGAAGGCCCTCAGTAGAAACTTGAATTGCTCTGAATAAATGCTATCTATAAAATTTTAAAATAATACCTTTGCTATAAAAAGAGATTCAGTTGTTTCTCTACCAGTTTCAATAGAATTTTAAAGACTTATAATTGCAAATTGTGCTCAATACCAAAAAAAAACTGATTTTGAACAAAAGTTATTTTCAAACATCTTATTAAATTCTCCTAGTTTACTCAACAAGCAGACAGTCTTGACAGTGTGAAATTTGCAGTTTATAATAATTACTAATGAAAAAATTTAAATCCCAACTAACCTTTAATAGTACCTTACCAATGATTTTATAAAAAGGAATTAACCTGTTTTATTTGAAAATTCAGGATTTTCTCAATGTAAAAACAACAAATGCTAATTTGACTATTATTAGCATTTTCTATGATGAATGGTTCCTAATAGTAAGGTTAATATAATAAATGGAACAGAAAAGAATATAAAATTTTGTTTAAATATGACTCTGGCCCAGCCAGCATGGCTTAGTGGTTGAGCATTGACCTATGAATCAGGAGGTCACAGTTCAATTCCTGGTCAGGGCATCAGGCTCAATCCCCAGTGTGGGGTGTGCAGGAGGCAGCTAATCAATGATTCCCTCTCATCATTGATGTTTCTATGTCTTTCCCTCCTCCCTCTCTAAAGTCAAAATACATATTTTTACTTTAAAGAACCAGCTACTATATTCAGTTTCCACCCACAAACAAGTGGTTAACCAAAAATAATCTCTGGCCTTTAAGTCCTGGGCACCATTAGAACTGACAGACGGAAAACTAGGTCTACTGCATTGGTTTGATGTGGTTACCGGCCTTTTACCTCCACATCTGGAAGGGCCACTGACATTCTCTGGCTCTGCCTCCCCTTTTTACCTTAAACATATCTTCTTCTTATTCATAGTAATAGACTTTGCAGGTTTTCCTATCTCCTCTAACTAGAATTTATGTGTATCGTCAGCACCTGGAATGCACCTTGTATGAAGCAGACTCCTAATATCTGTGAAATGCATAAACACAGGAAAATGCATGTTCCCTGTAATCTCACGCCTCAATGAAAACTTATCAATAGTGTTGCGCACAAACCTCCCACTGGTTTTCTTCATATACCAACCTTTCTTCCTCTTCTATTTTCATTGTCATTAATATTTTTTCAAAAGTAGTCTTATAACACATTGTTTTGCAAATTTCTACCCCAACCAATTTTAGTCTATCTCAGCAGCCTAACATTGCACAGGATGATGGCATAGCATGTTACTGTTGGGGATGAACTTTTTGGTGGTTTCTGATGTTGACATTGGGGTGTATTTTTGCTATTGATAATAAAACTTCAGTGGATTTTCTTGCACCCATTCCAGTAACTTGCTAACGAGTCCACATATTACTGGAAGTAGAAATATTCAAAAATAGGAATATTTTCCGATCTTGAGTACACTAAAATTTCTATTCAACTGTCCTTGTTTTCTAATCAGTGTTGTAGTGGCCCCAATATTTCCTCTTTCTCTTCATGCTACTGCTTCCCACCACTAGTCACTTAGCAGTTGCCTTGGTATTATAGTAATATATAAAAATGTTAAAGAGATTTTAAAAGGTTTGACTTATCTTTCTTGAGATTTTAAAAGATTTGACTTATCTTTCTTGAACCTTAAAGTGTGATAATAAGGACCCATTTTCATTGCCCTGAAGCATGTGTACCCCATAGATAAGGATTTGAACTTCAATTACTGACTTAGAAGTGACTTGCTAAGATAACCATTTGTGTGAGTGATGTACTCACCATAGATAACCACTTGTAGACCCTCACCCTGTTTGAAATTAACACGTGTGCATTGACGTAATTCACTGATAGCCAACTGAACTGCTGTGGGTACGAAACAGGCTTTGAAAATGGGTCCTGACCAGCTAACCACAGTGCACGCCTGTCGAG